GAGGCATCCTCCCAAGAGCCTGATGGGAGTGTCACATAAACAAGAGATCCTCACTCTATGGCTCTTCAGGTTTCTGGATCTCCAGGAAGAGGAATGTGCAGCCTCCCCACCACTGCACCTAAAATCTTCAAGACTCTTTACTATACCTGAATAACTAGAGCCTCCATAATCAATCCACAAATGTCCCCACGATTTCTTCCAATTGACCTCCAGGCCCTTATCAAGCTGTTTTCCGGAGCTCTGTTCTACAACCATGCTTTTCTAGCTGGTGGTTAACTACCAACCAGTGCAGTAAATCCTGAGTATCCACTGTGGCACAGGTCAACTTGCATTTGTGGGATTAAATTCTAAAGTCCGCCTTTAAGGCAAAAGCCAAGTGTAATTAAAAAAAAAATCACACATGAAAATTCCTTAGCTAGCACCTGGCTCTTTAAACTCAAAAATCAAGGATGAACTACTTGTATGGTTCTCTGCACTGCAGCCAAAACTTCCCCTTCCTTGGGGACAGTAGACACCAATGCCTGCACAGGGCCAAGGGCAAAGGGTTAAGTATAGGGATTTCTCCCTCCTCTATCCTCAGCAGGAAGAGTTGATTTCACAAGTTAAATTGAGTGTACGATATGAATGCATTGTATTTGCAAGACACATACTAGGTGCTATCAGGCAAAAAAAACGAGTATAAACTCACTACCCTCGTATAACCTTTAATCCATCTGTGACAGATTGGATTATCCCCTAAAGAAGATGGCTAATAGTTAAAAAATCAGACACAGGTGCAATCAACATTTAAAGGAAGAAGAAATTGCTGTAGAGTAGATAAACTCTTGAGAGTTGATGTATTCGTTCTTAATATTGACTGACTCATCACTAACCAGTATTGCAGGTACAACTGGCCGAGGGCAAAGGGCTCTGCCCTGTGGTCACATACCTGTCACCTAAAGCTATAATGGTATTTTGTTTTGTTTCTATTGTTCCTCTTGGAAATGCAAAAGAATTATTTGGCCACGGTGGCCATAGTAACATGGTGAGCGAAGGTCCTTGGAGAATCATGTGCCATATTTCCAGTACTCTCTAGCTGATGAATATTTATATTAAATCTTAATGTATTATTATGCATGCAACCCTAAAATAATCTATGAATATTTATATTAAATCTTAATGTAGTGTTATGTATGCAACCATAAAATAATCTATGCAACTAAGAATACAGAGTAACTACATCTCTGTAACTGAGAACCTATCCTATGAATATTTAACCTGCTTTTCTTGACACATTATTTATTTTATATAAATACTCTGACCCTTTTCTTCCAATCCTGTCATTACTTGGATGGTCTCACATTAGGCTGTGTTAAAATTAAATTTGTCTATGTCCGCTTTCTCACAAAATCTTAAATTTCTTCTAAGCCACCTTGCTTTTAGGTTTTTCTCCACTCCTGGGACCCAAGGTGACCCAGCAATTCCTGGAAGATGGCCCTGAGTGAATGAATGCAGGGAAGTGAGTGCTTAGGTACACATCCTGGACATGGCTCTGATCCCTGGCTAGTGAGTCACACTTCAGCAGCCCTTTGCAGAAGGACAGACCCAGATCTGATCCACCGCCAGATGGAATAAGAGTCAATAAGGAAGAGAGCTTAGGCACCACGATTTATATAGATAGCCCTGACCCATATGGGAAGCCATTTAATAAATCAACACGGCATAGTACATTTCCAAAACTCAACTGCTTGCCAATTTCTCCGGGTCTGAAGGAGATTTCTGGCTTTTCCTTCCGGAGATGGCATAAGTATGAGTCAGAAATACCAACTTCAAATCCAGATTCTGTTAAGTCTCTGCTTATGAGACTTTCGACAAGACATTTCACAACTTTCAGCTTCGCTTGGCAGTACTTGGACAAGACATCTCTAGTTCATAAGGCATGATTGAAAAGCTGCAGTAGCAGTGGGCCTGGAAAGGTTCTGGAAGATCATGGTGATCGGAAAGAGTGTCTTCCAAGAAACTGAGGGTTGTGACTGATCCAGAATGGCTCAGGGAGACACCACCACTAGACTCCTCCCCTGCCAGTTTCTGCCCTGTGGGCATATACCTATCCACCTCTTCCCAGAAGCGAGGGATGATTCACAGGATGCAAACACCCAGAATCATCACCAACAGACCTTCCATTTGGGGGATGACTCAACCTTACCTACGGAGAAATTAATGACCTCAAGGTGTTCAGTTTCTGATCTCAGTCACTCAGCTGACCACTTACCTACTGGAGTAGGAAACTTAACATACAGCCTAAAAACCTGGATAGACTTTTACAGTTCCTACTTCAATTTGATAGTCCAGTGCAGGGACCGGGGTTCGATCCCCTGGCATCACATGCCATGATAGCGCCACCCCAGGTGCACTAAGCCAGCGACAGAGACCGGGTGGTGCCATATATTTGTAATCCCAGCACTGGGGAGGCTGAAACAAGAGCATTACTATGAGTCTGAGCTGTATAGTGAGACTCTGCACCAAATACATAAAACAATGAATAAATAAATAAACTATGGTGGGTTTTAATAGTGCATTTATCTGATATTCCCATACATCTGCGAGATCTTACAAAGTACCTTGCTTAGTAAATTTACTTTTCTCATGAGTCTAATCAATATAGGTTAAAGTTAAATTGCTGTGGGTTTCATAAATTTGGTTGACAGTTGAAAATATTAATTACCCAAACATCAATAACCTCTGGCTTTACTCTTAGCAGTCTTAGAATCATAGAAGGTTTGAAACACCTTGTGCAGAATTTAAGACACAATAGGAACAGTTACTGCTTTTAAATTTATCATCACCACAGTACCATCTACCACTTAGTAAGCACCCATAAGGACGGACACTGAATATTTTGTGAGTTAGCTATAAATCCTTTTCACAGGCCTATTAATTAAACATAGTTCCACCTTACAGGTAAAGAAACTAAAGTTCAGAGTAAATGAACTGAATTAAGTGGCTGAGAAAGATTTGAGTTCAATCTCTCTCCCACCAGTTCCCTAAAATAGCAACTCAGCAGTTTCTGAGTTTAGGAAACTAGACCACAAGTTGTCTCAGTCCCCCAGCTCTGTCATTTACACCAATGTCCTTCTCAGTCAAAGGTGGCAGTGGATGTGATGTGGGCTAGGAATGCAGATCCTCTGAGGAGGGCCAGGAATACACCTACAGCTAATGTACCTTATGGGGGGGGTGGTCAGGACTGCACACGAACCACAGCCCTTCCTTCCCCCACCCATGTGGTTGCCCCCTCTGGGCCCTAGAGGTGGTCCCTACAGGTGGACCTTTCCTCCATTCCAGGATCTGACCCATTCTCCCCCTAGTCAACCCTTTAGGTCTTTTGTACAGTTCCAAGCACAGGCCTTTTCGTAGGTTTGGGAAGGTAAAAGCTCCGATATCAGAGCAGCCCAGCAGTAACTGCAAGTTTTAGCAGGCATGCGGCTCACCTTGGAGAGACACTCTGGGCTAAAGGCATACAGCAAATCTCCATGCCCAGGATATTTCTTGCCCCCGTGACAGTACCCCCTTTCACAGGTCTGCTTGGAAATGTACACGCACAGGGAAGCTAAGATCCTAGTGGCCTCTAGTACAGAAAAAACGCAGAGGGGAATGCATTCCCTCTGCTGAATCACAATCACTTCTGTACTGACAAGTCCAGATCCTCCATGTGGGTGGATGCGCTTCTCCACACAGTGCTGTACTCCAAGACACTAACCATCATCCATTAACTGAGTTAGCAGAAACCACCTTTCATTCCAGATTTATGGCTTAACGATTATTTCAGAGATAAAGAATGTGGAAGCAGCTGGCCAGGCCTGCAGACTAGGACCACCTGCCCAACCTGCCCCCTCCAGCTAATCTCTGTGCTTCACCTAGCTGTTATTAGACAAATCTAACAGTGAATCTTCAATTCTGGGCCCCGCAATATTCATAAATTCCAAAGTTGTTAATCGCTGAATTTAAAGTTTCATCTAGCTTCAAAATCTCCCTGGCCTCTCCTTAACACAAAATCTCTGTGCTGTGCACCTTGCTTTCTCTGGTCCTTGCTCCTGGAAGGACCTGACTTCAACCAAAGGCCTGGGATCTTTTGTTGTTACAGTGTTCTTCAGTAGCACCCATTGAAAATACAGCCCCAAGGCCATCAAGAAGACCAAGCTTCGGAATACCCTCTCCCATCCAAACAGTTCGCACATGTGGGAACCAAACACTTTATAAAGTGAGGGAGAGGCGCTGCGCGCTGCAGGTCTCCACTTTCTCCTGGGAGGAGCACCGCGCTGGCGGGGGTTGTCACTTTTGAACCTTGTTTGTCAAGTCCCAGCACGGATCGGACATTTTGCTTTAACCCCTTGGCTGAGCCCGCCCAATGCAGGGGCCCGGGCAGACCACTCAGAAACACACGCTTTCTCAGCTGATCTGATCCTGCCAAAACAGGTGCTTGGTGAATTCCATTTTAAGAAAGAAAGAAAAAAAAAAAAAAAAGCGTATAAAAGTATTTACTATGGGAGCACGCGCCCTGCGGGGAAAGTCACGCAGGACACGGCAAAAAGTGACTTTCCAACTTTGGCAGGGCGCGCGAGTCCGGGAGCAGACCGAGCGTTCTGAAACTGCAGGAAAAGTCTGGGTCTTCCGGGCACGCTCCCAGCAGTCCCAACAGCAGCGCAGCGGCGACCTTAATCCCACCCCGCCCAAACCCACGTAAAACTGAAGAGGCAAAGCGTGCCACCTGCCGGCCCGGCAAACAAGCCCCGAGCGAAGAGCCGGAGGAAAGCACGTCGTGTAAGTGGGGAAAAGTAAACTCTTTCGAGTCAGCCCTGGGGCTCGGGTTCCAGGGCTGTCCGGTGAGATTCTCGCGGCGCGGAGCGCAGCAGGCGCGGCAGGGCCAGGGCCAGGGCCAGGGCGGCGGGACTCCCGGCGCGCGGTCGGGAGCAGAGCGCGCCCTCGGCCCGGGGAGGAGGGGCAGGAAGACTCGGGGAACTCACAGCCGCCTGTCCTCGGGGTGCAGCTGCCAGTGCATGGCCAGCGAGAAGCCGAAGAGGCTGCCGGGGTCCCCAGATTTCCGGATCACATTGTCCTCGCGGGTGTCCAAGTTGAAGGCTGCCCCGAGCCAAGGCAGAAGCGCCGCCGACAGGTAGAGCAGGCACAGCTGCCCCGCGGCCGCCATGGGCCCTGCGGCGGCCGCCCTGCGCTCCGAGCCGGGTCCCAGTGCCAGTGCCGGCCCCGGGCTGGTCCGAGGCTGCTGGCCTCGCCGCTGCGGCCGCGGCCACCTTCGCCTCCCCTCGCCCCTGCGCGCGGCCCCACCCCCGGACCGGCCGCGCTCTGCTCCGGCTGCTCCCCCTCGCCGGCAGCTCCGGACCGCTGAATGAGCCCGTTGTTCTCTGGAGACTCGCAGGCATTTTATCGGGTGACGAGGACGCCGGCCCCGCCCCTCTCCACCCCCGGCCCCGCCTTGCGCGCCCGCCGCCGGCGGCACCTTCCCAGCGCTGCGCGCCCCGCGCTCCCCGCGCTGGGCTGGGCTCCCGCCGCCGCCTTCACCTGCCTGGACTCGGCGACGGGAGATGGCTGGAGAGCGGCGCTTAATCTGCGGTTGTCGCGCAGCGTGGAGCGAAAAGGGCAAATACTGTTACCTGTAGACGGAGAAAGGTGCAGCTGATGCACCGACTCCCTGCCTGAGTAGGAGTCAGTGCTTGCCACTCTGTGGGTCTGTGTACAAATGCACACTTCATGCATTGTGCAAAGGTTTATGGAGTCCTTCGCGTGGCAACTCCTGAGGACAGGAGCTGCAGTTTCTTGATCCTCAAAGGCTTAGTAGCACACACTCTGATAGGGCAACAGCCATTGCCTCAGTGGACCGGAACCATTCTACAACAGGAGTGTTTTCTTTTATGCCTGGGATTCCCGCGGACCCCTTCCCACACACCCCATTCCTATACCCCCGAGTGACAAGGAGACCTTGTGGGAGAATCTATGCTGGACCTAGAAGTTTCAAACTTGGTTTCTAGGTGTTCTGACGCTGGGGGAAAAAAACCCCTCAAAAATAGGTATCTTGCTCAGGAGCTCGGGTTTGGGTGTTCTTTCCTAGCTCCACGTTTCCAGGTATAGTTAGGGAGAGAACTTTTCAGAACTGTGGGTTCAAAACTAGAGGCAGGAGATTTAATGCGGAGGTATTGTGAACTTCCATGATAAAAAATTTTACGTTTTTAATTTTGCGGTACGGGGAATTGAACTCAGGCCCTTGCGCTTGCCAGGCAAGTGCTTATTCTACTGAGCTATCTCCCCGGCCCTACATTTTTATTTTCACTAACTTCTGATAGTAGTGTTTCCTTCCACTAAATGTAAACAAGAAATCAGTGACACAGGATGAGTGTCACTGAGCAAAAACCATGTGTTTTTTTTTAAAAAAAAATTATTTTCAGCACATTAAATTTACTCATAACATTCTAAAATGTAATTTTTCCTTTTTAACAAAACATACTAAAACATTAAGCTCCCAAACCAGAATATATGACATTTATGATTCAAAATCAATTTAGAATATTGAACGTTTACAAAACTATCATTAAAAATAGACATAAAGTTCCATGCAATTTTGTAGAATTGACAAAAAATGGCTCAAAAGTGGGAGAATTTTTCATCATTCTTAAAAAGAAAGTATGTCCAATAGAAGCTGTGAAGGTCTTTAAGGTTTCAAAACTCATTGTCTTGGGCTGGCCAAATAGCTCGGCAGATTAAGGGTTCAATCCCTGGACCTGCTGTGCAGGCTCCAACCCCCTCACCCCAAGGTGCCCTGAGAGGGCAATTGAGACTGGCCATAGTGGCACATGAGTCCGATCTAGTAGTGAGACCCTGAGCACCCTGTAGACCCTTCCCTAAAAATACAAAAAAACCCAAACAAAAAACCAACCAAACAAGCAAAAAAACCCAAAATACACACACACACACACACACACACACACACACACACACACACACAAATACATTGTCTTAAGTTGAACATGGTAGCACAAGCCTGTAATCCTAGGGCTTGGGAGGCTGAGGCAGAAGGATTGCCTTGAGTTTGATGCCAGCCTGGACTATATAACTGAACTGCATAATGAGATGCTGTCTCAAAAAACAAAGCAAAACCAGCACAGTCTGTGTTTTCTAGACTATTCCAAGTGCTGTTGAAAGAGGCTCACTTATGCAGGCCCTTGGGACTGTTCAACAGTCCAGCTTTTTAGACCCCATGGCTTTCAGTGACACCCGACTTGTTCTTTGGGAATCACTTGCACTTTGGAAAGGACAGCTAACTCAACAATACAGTGTGTCTTATAGCCTTTTAAGACTTCAGCAGGTAACACCACCAGTTTCCAGGTTGTAAGGTAGCAAGGCATAAGAAAAGACATCAGGAAGCAGGAATAAGAATAGGACAGGAGAGGATGGAGTGAGGAAGGTTTGGCCTGGCTCCCACCGGATGGGGCCCTCAAGCATCATTGCCTGGTGGACTGAGGGGTCCAGAGTGGCCTGAGGGTGTCAGGAGCATCGCAGCTGGTGAGATTTAAGCAAAGGTGCTATTATTGTGGCTGTGCCTTCCCACGTGATTTGTGGTACAAACTGGTCAGACTTACACTGAAGGACCTAGAATCCTAACTCATGAATTAAACACAGACACTACTAACTGCAATATTAATAAACTAATTCCTGTAATCTTGTGAAGATGATGCATGATGCTGGTTGTTTTAATACACAGTCACATATAAAAGCTATAAGTTTATTTTTTTTTACAGGACATTACACTTGTTGCAAATATTTCAAGTTATAGCAGTTGCTAGACTGAACCCTCAGCTAGATCTTCTATAATATATCAATAAAGAGGTTTATATATTACTATAGCACAATTAAAAAATATTGCTACTGTATTTCAACATACAGTAGTACCTCAGCTCATAATCCTCCAGGATTCTGGTTGCAAACCAAATTGTACAAGACCCAAATCAAATTCAGTAGTTAGGTTTAGTGGTGATCTTATGAGGAAATTTAGAAAACATGGGGTTGTTCCTTTGGCCACATACATGCAAATCTACAAAAAGGGTGATATTGTAGACATCAAGGGAATGGGTACTGTGCAAAAAGGAGTGCCTCACAAATGTTACCATGGCAAAACAGGAAGAGTCTACACTGTTACCCAGCATGCTATTGGCATTGTTGTAAACAAGCAAGTTAAGGGCAAGATATTTGCCAAGAGGGTTAATGTGCATATTGAGCATATCAAACACTCAAAACAGTCGTGATAGCTTCCTGAGATGTGTCAAGGAAAATGGTCGGAAGATGAAGCAAGTCAAAAAGAAAAGTACCTGGGTTCAACTGAAGTGCCAGCCTGCCCCTCCCAGAGAAGCACACTTTGTGAGAACCAATGAGAAGGAGCCTGAGTTGTTGGAACCTGCTCCCTATGATTTCATAGCATAAGCTGGGAATGTATCTCCGCCATTCAGCACCTAATTGGCAGCTTAAGTGTTCTAGGTCCTACTTAAACATAAAAAATCATGCTGTGTTGTAAGGGTGGTTTTCTTAGTTGAATAGGTAGGTATGTGGTGCCTTCTTACCTCAGAAATATTTGGAGCAGATTTTCACTGCATCTAGTAATTGGGTCTAGTCTTTACTTTTCTGTGTTTTTCTTGATGAAAAATATTGCTGAGGTATTGTGCAGATATATACCCAAATGTCCAAATATTTATGAGGTTTTTATATTGGTTTGAAGGTCCTGTAAGTCACCATGGGGAAAAGATATATCAAAATAAATGGAAATCACTTCAGTTAAACAAATGGAAGTCAATTTCAGTTTAATAAATTGTTTAAAGAAAAAAAAAAAATTGGAGGAACCAATTCCCTAGTGGTATTTCTCAAATAGTATGCTTTGAGTCTCTCCTCTCAAAGCAAAGTATTTTACTTTTGCACATTTGAGCCTGCAAAATACTGGGTCTTTTGGATTCCTCACTTGCTCTGTATTGTCCTAGCATAAAGTTCTTGGCTTCTTTGTGTTGCTAAATTTTTTGGCAACCAAGTTTATCTTTGCTCTAACTTGTAGGAGCTTCCTTTTTGGTGCAAGTCAAAAGTTAAAATCAATCAGCTATGCTGTTTGTGCTTCATCCTCAGTGTAGAGCTTGCTAAATGCCCCCCCATGGTACCCATACCACAACTTCAACATTGAGCTTCCCTGACATTGCTCTGCCAGATTAATTTGTCTGCAACCCTTAATCTCAGTCTCCCACAAATTCTCAGGACATGAGCAACATGTAGACTAATTTTCTGCCAGATCATAGTACATATGGTCTGTCCCAAAGAGTTCTTATTCCCAACAGAAACCTCCTGGGTTTGGTCTTTACAGTTTTTTTTTTTTTTTTTCTATCAGCATTGTGATCTGAATTCTGACTTCCATCAGGCTTGTTTACGACATTCTAGGGCTCCATTATCTGTCATCCAAATCTTTCTAAACTTCTCTGACAAATGAGTTCCAAGGCCTCTGAGCCACTCGATCAGGTAACAGTCACAGAAATGACCTCATTCTCAGTACCAAAATTTGTCTTAGTTACTACCCTCATCACTGGGGCCAAACACTTGATTCATGAAACTTAAAGGCAGAAGAGGTTTATTTTGGCTCATATTTTAGTTCATAGTTGGGAGTTCCAAGACAGGTAACATTTCACTGGGGCATAGCAGAGGACAAACTGCTCACCTAATGGTGATCTGAAAGCAGAGCATAAAAGGAAGAGCTAAGAGGAAAATGGAACTGCTCGTCTCACGCTCTTGGTGATTTGCCTCTTCTGACCAGCCTCTAACCTCCTGACAGCAAGTCAGCAATGATCTCGCATAACCCAGACACCTTCCAAAACTTCCACCTATGAGTGCATGAGCCTCTTGGGGGCATTTACATATAAATCATAACACATGCTTTGGAAATAGAATCAGGGAGCCATCCCAGGGAAGAGCTGGACCTGTGTATGCACATGCATTTCTTTACTACAAAGAGCAATTGTACCAAGAAAGCTGCCTAAGCCACTCGGAAAGTCATGTGAACATCACCCACAGTTGCCACAGGTGATGTAGCTGCCCAGCAAGGTTCCCGTTATAAGGCTGTGTGCCACTTCCGTGCCAATCAGTAACTCAGGTATAGTTCAAAATGGGGTGCCATGAATTTAAGTAAAGATGATGATCTTGGAAATCACACTGCTTGAACAAATGCATCTTGATAAGGTTGAAAAACTGTTGAAAATACCATGTAGTACACTAGGAAATCTGCAATATGATTTTTCATGTAAGTTAGCCTTCTAGCTTCATGTTCAACATGTACTGTTCCAGAGAGACAAGGTATAAGCTGCTATGGGTGAGCAT